GCTATGCGCGGAGAAGTTGGGCACTTCTCGGTGCCTTGATTTCCTCATGTAGAATGGACACAGCAGTATCGTACTTCGTCAGTTCAAACACAGTTGAACCTCCCTTAAAGTTGGCCGGGTAATAAGGCTCTGCTACATTCTTTTCTCTCTCCGAGGTCCGGAAGAGAAGAGGGTATCTTACCAGCAATGGGGTCTCAGATCTGAAGAAAGATTGGTAGCACCCGTCCCAGAGAGCTGTTATGGGGACTAGGTGAGATAATAGAGAGCGCGTAGAACAGCACCAGGCACAAAATGAGCGTTTATAAACATCTGTTCTTGTTTCACAACGGTTTAGAGTTCAGCCGGCCTGCAAAGTTTATTCCGGTGTTCGTTACGGGATCAAACCCTGGTCAGACCCTGAGCCAGATGCTTTGCCAGAAACACATTCTGTTTCTGGACGCAGACTCCTCCTCACGCACGTGCAGTTCACACAGCTGGGATGGTCCAGGGGCAGGACTTGAACTCAGAACTCCTAAGTGCCCACACGCAGCTCAAAGCTCTCTGGCTGGGGCTCCACGGTGGTCACGGTGGCAGGAATTCAGGCACCCCTGGAGGCACCAGGCGAGTAAAGGAGGGGAGCAGGGCGGTGTGTCCCTGGGCCCCAGCTGCGGCCTCTAGGGCCCCTCATCCTGGTGTTTATTCTACGCTCACGGATGAAGTCAGCCTCCGTGTGGGACCTTCCTTCCTGGGGCCCTGATCATCACTCAGGAGACCCACAAGCTTACCTTGAGAAAAAGTTTTCTGTTCCCCGAAGCCCACATCACCCGTGCTTCAAGCCTCCTGGAAAAACTGGATTCGCGACAGCTCTGCAACCGTCTCCACAGGCAGCGTGGAGGGCGAGGGCGAGGGAGTCAGTGCCGGGGTCGATTCAGTCCGAATCAGCATCTCAGGAGTGCTCTGAGCCCGGAAAAGCTGGAGAGGAGGCTGGGGGATCCCTGTCCCACTGCTGTGCCACACAACGTGGGCTGAACCTCCCAGCTCTTCCCCCATCCATACATAATTTGTTGGGCAGATTAAAAAGACAATCAGGGCAAAGTGTTTAGCACGTGCTCAGTTAACCTTAGTTATATTATAAGGCAACTCTCCTAGAGTACATTCCAGAAGAGGGCCTGCCTCTCTGAACGCTATAGAAATGAATGTTCCCCTCTCAGAGGAAGAAACGAGAGAGGGATGAGAGACAACTCAGTAGATGGCGACGACACCTTATACAAACGTTTCTCCAGCAAGCACTTAATGAGCACCTACTGTGCATGGAGCCCTGGGGACGCCAGGGGACAATATGGTCCTTGCCCCCACTGTCTTCCATTTGGTCCATTCTAATACTCAGGATCAGTGGCGTAAGCACCAAGTGACTTGCAAAGTGACTATTTACTCATGCGTCTGTGTCTCCCCAGTGTCTGCGAACCCCTGAGGGTAGGGATGGTGACCTGCCCCCAGGGGTCATCTATGCGTCCCCAGCACGGAACCTGCTCGTGGATGGGTAAGAAAATGAGCCAAGTTGAGGGACTATTTCAGGTTAAAGTCAAAGACTCTTCTAGAATCTTCCACTATCTTCCCCGCCCCCCACCTCACTTCTTCAGTGACTGACAGTTTCCCAATCTGCCCAATAGGAAAGCCTCCAGCAGCCTCTCAGTTTCCGCTGAAGCATCGCCTTTTCCTTATGGAGCATACACACACCACAAGCCCCGGTTAGGGCCTGCCCTGTGGAGCTGAGCCAACAGTGCCCACTGCCAAACTTAGCACCCCGTCCACGTCCCCCTGCTGGCCAGCGGGAGGACTCCCAGGGCTGGGAAGGGCCTTGTGGCCCGGCAATGGTCAGCCTGGGATGGGCCAAGAAGTAGCAGGTGGGGGTCAGGGAGGACGGGGCGGGGGGTCTCAGGGGAATGGCCGGCAGTCTGGACAAAGGGGCTGTGGGGCGACGAGGAGACCCAGAGATGAAGGCTCCAGCAGGATGCTGAGTGCGGGGAAGTAAGACGGGGGGCTCCCTGGGCTCTCGGCTGGGCAGCCCCGGCAGGGCTAACCCTCTAGACCAGCACCCTTCCATGATGATGGAAACGTTCTCTACCTCCGCCATCCAATATGGTGGCATGGGGCTGCTGAGCGTGTGAAACATGAACAAACGTGGATGTGAGGCAGGGGGGCCGAAATGCTGGTCTGCCTGGGACTGAGGGGTTTCCAGAAAGAGGGATTCTTGCTGCCAAAACGGGGAAGTCTCGGCTGGTCACCGACCTTGACTATGTCACTTTCCACGAGAGGCATCAGGTCGATTTCACAACCGTCACTAGGGACCTTGGGCACCTCTGACTGTGGGGCTGCTAGCCATCAGGCAAGTGGGGGCCGTGAAGAAGGGAGCCCGGATCCGAAATCAGACTGAATGGATTCTGAGATCCCGGCTCAACCCCTGTGAGCGTCTTGGAACCTCAGGTGCTCGCCTGTAAATAAGGACAGTAAGACTCTCCTTCCCAGAGCGTTGTGGGGGAACGAAGAAATAAAAAGTGCCTGCACGCAGGAGGTGCTCAAAGAACACTGGCTCCTCCCCCCTCTTTGTGGCCACTATTAAAGGCCAAGAAGCAGAACGAGTAACAACTCTGAATAATTCCAAGAAAGAACGCAAAAGAACTCATTCACCTAGCATACCCCACCCCCACCCCACCCCACGAAATTTGCCAGGGAGGAGGGGGGGCCCTTTCCAAGACTGACCCCCAGAGTCCTGCCCGTGAATAGGAGGGCTCCCCCCACAGTTCTCTTGTCCACAGAAAGAGCTCACAGGGGCTGCATGCTGCCCTGAGCAGGTTCAGAGTGGACACCACAGCCAAGCGGGAGGCTGATGTGATGGACAGAAATGGGGAAGCTGAGTCTGAGGCGGCTGCCAGAACCCACCATTCTGGAGACCCAGGAAAGAGACGGCTACTTCAGATGGTGAGCTCAAGGTCTCTGGAGCCTTGAGAAGAACGTGCAAAAATCCCTGGGCAAAGAAGGAGGGGAACTGGATGGAGGACCAGTCAGAACACCACATCAAAGTGTCCTGGGCTGGTGCCCGGGGTTGGGGCCAAGGGCTTCCTGGTGAGCGAGTCCACCAAGGGTCTCATGGTGGAGGTCTACTCACCGCCCTTCCTCCTGCCAGACGAAGGCTGAGGGGACTGGAGTCGAGGAGAACAAGAGAGGAGGTCTGCCAGCACAGGTCAGCGAGTGCAAGGAGAGGCTGGGATTTGTCCTGGGCGTCAGGGAACAGGCTCCCGGCGTGGGAGGCAGGGCCACCGTGCACACTCGCTGGCCAGGGCAGGGTGTGACCAACCAAGGCAATGCACGGGGCACACGTCAGCCCACACTGCCACTAAGCTCCACACTGAGGTTCACCAGGTAGGGGGCCATGTGAGTCCACACCTCTCTGGAACGCCTCCCCCCCACCTTAATACACTTTTTTTTTTTTAATTTTTTTTTCAACGTTTATTTATTTTTGGGACAGAGAGAGACATAGCATGAACAGGGGAGGGGCAGAGAGACAGGGAGACACAGAATCGGAAACAGGCTCCGGGCTCTGAGCCATCAGCCCAGAGCCCGACGCGGGGCTCGAACTCACGGACCGCGAGATCGTGACCTGGCTGAAGTCGGACGCTTAACCGACTGTGCCACCCAGGGGCCCCCCTTTAATACACTTTTTAGGACAATTGCAGGTTTCCAGAAAAATGGGAAAGATAGCACAGAGTTCCCACAGGTACCACATTCTGGTTCCCCTATGGAGGTGAATGTGGTGCACCTGTTAACAACTAGTGAAATAATACTACAGTGAAAGTTCGTGCCTGATTCGGATTTCCACGGTTTTAATTTCACATTCCTTTTCAGTTCCAGGATCCCATCACCCCACTACACTTTGTTGTCTCGTCATCTCGGGCTCCTGTGGGCTGTGACAGTTGCTTAGACTTTTCTTGTTCTTGATGACCTGGGCAGTTGTGAGGGGTGCCAGTCAGATATTTTGCAGAATGTCCCTCAGGGGGGGTTGGTCTGATATTTTTCTCATGATTAGACCGGGCTTGTGAGCTGGAGGGAGGAGGTCCCCAGAGGTACGGTGCCCCTCTCCCCACATCATAGCCAGGGTGCATATGCCCTCACATGACTCGCCATGGCTGCCGACGGCCGTGACCAGCGGGCCAAGGGATGCTGGCAGGTTTCTCCACTGTCAGGTTATTCCTTTCTTCCCCTTTCCGTACTCTGCTCCTTGGAAGGAAGCCCCTACCAGAAGCCTCTTAAGGTATGACCAATGCTATTCCTCCCTCTTTACTGAGGCTGTTAATGGGGGGGGGGGGGGGGGGAGCTGATGACTGAAGACCCAAAGGTGGTGTGGGAAGGAGACCAGGAACCAGGGACCTCCAGAACTGGAGAGCGGGTATCTTCTTCAAACAGGTGTTTTCAGCCCCTCCCTCGCCCCTCCCCACATCTCCTCCCCAGGCCCTCCTGGGGCCTAAAGGAAGAAGGGGCTCAGCCTGTAGACGCTCAGAGTCCCCTGGCCAGGGCCCAGGGCCCAGGGCCCAGCCAGCCCAGGCCTGACACAACAGTGTGGCTTGCTCACCGAAGACGCGACAAGCCGCGTGAAAGGGCCCTTCGGCCTCGGCCACTTCGAACCCAACCCCCCACCCCCACCTTCAAGGAAGCTGTTGTCAGAACGTTCTGTAGAGGAGGAAACCGAGGCTCGGAATAAGGCATCACCGGGAAATGGCCGTGTCAGGTGCAAGCCCAGGTTCTCACCTCACAGCAGCACGGGTCTCACCCACCGGGACGCGCAGCAGCGGTCATGGCGTGTGACGGGTCTGGCCCTTCCTGGTTCCCGGAGGCCAGCTGTGTGCGCCTCTTCCTCGTCTGCATTCAAGCGGTCTTGTTTTGGCCACAGCGGGAGTATTTACACTGTGGAAACTGCTCAACCCTCCAAATCCAGGCTCCCCCACCCCCCGCCCAGAAAAGCCACCACTCTGCAGAAAGCAGACTCCAACCCGGGCAGTCTGAACCCTCATCCACGTTCTCCACTACCAGGCCACACCGCCCTCTCGAGGGCAGGCAAGACGGGGGTGTGTGCGCGTGTGTGCACGTGTGTGTGTGTGTGTGTGTGTGTGTGTGTGTGTGGTGCTCTGCCCTTCAGCGCTCCCAGGGTTCACGAGAAAACCACACTCCCACACTGAGTTCAGGGTTCAGATTCTCATGGGATAATTTGCCCCAGTAAAGCAAAAGCACCGAACAGCACCTGGCCAAGACAGGGACGTGCCTCTGTAACCCACTGGCCTCCATGGCAGGACTGATCCTGTCTGAGGAGCTCCTGCAGGCTGTGGCTTCTGAAAAGTCAAACTGAAGACCAGAGATGCCAGGACAGCCTGGACCCCTGCCAGTGTCCTCTCCGCGAGAGAGCCAGGGCCCCAACGCGGACCAGAAGGGAAGGAGAAAGGAAGGCATGGCCTTGAGGGCCAGTTATCTCTGGATTCAAATTCTGGCTACACTATCCAATGTGAGATGTCGCCTAAGTCCCTTCGTGTTGAGCCTCAGGTTTCTCATCTGCAAAATGGGGCAGTAAGCCATGCCGCATGGGTTGTCCAGAATGAGACGGCATGTGTGGGATGCCTGGCATACAGTAGGTGCTCACAAGTGGCAGCTACGGACATTCTCAGTGGATCCAGAGTGAAGGCAAGAGACGGCCAAAAAGTAACCGATTCAGAGGGAGGGGGTTACGGACCCGGGACGGGGAGGACCCACAAAAGTGTGAGACACACCTCTCCTCCTTGGAAAATGCATTATCATATGTAAATCTTTGCCAGTCTTCCAGGCGAAAATCTGCTTCGTAGTTTCTTTTTAATTCCTATTTCTCTCATTACTGAGAGGCGTTTCCTCACAGTTGTTGGCCACTGCATTTCTCCTTTTACCCTCTGTACATTTCCCCCCAGAGGTGGTCAGTTTCTTATGGATTCATGCGTACTTTCTGCGTATTAAGGTTATTTAACTCTTTATTTGTCAAATATGCTGGAACTGCATTTTCCCAGCTCATCATTTGCCTTTCACATCGGTTTACAGTAAGGCTGATTTGTCGGTCTGTTTTTCCATGCTCAAGGGTGCCTTTTTTTTTTTTTTTTTTTTTTTTTTTTTTATGTAGCCAAATCCAGTTCTCCTTTCCTTTGTGGTTTCTCAAATAGAAAGAGCCAAGGTTTAGGGCTGTTGTTGATCTGTGAGGTTGATCCTCACCAACTGGCTTGAAAGTAAGAAACAAACGTCAAAGTTTCCACTCTCCTCCCTCGTCCCCCAGCAAGCTGAGGGCCATGCCTGGGCCGCCCCCCACGTGGCCTGCCCCCTGTGGGGTCACTCCCCTGTCCCCTGGAGCTCCCGCCTGGCATGGAGAGAGAGTGACTCACTCCCAAGGCCTGGTGCCCTTGCTCTGGGCCCCTGCCAAGCCGAGACGGGAGACACGCAGCCCACAGACTGCAGCGTTTTCATCGAGCAGCCAGCCTTGCACCTGAGGATGGGAGCATAGCTCCCTCCTGACGTCCCCGCTTCCAGTGGGCAGAGGGCAGGCATGTGGCCGGAGCACTGGAGGAGAACAAGCTGGAAGTCAGAGGGGCAGGCAGTCTCGACCCACCGTGCCACGGTCCACAGTCAACGCCAAGGGGAAGGCACAGGGGTCCCCTCACCCTCCTTCACTATCAAAGCTGCCCTAGAAGGCAGGTGCCCTGCACCTTTCTGGGCGTCAGTTTCCACCTCTGCAAAGTGGGCCTTTCCTCTGTCAGTGACTTCCGGCTTTAAAAAAAGTTGAATCTTACACTGAACAACTTGGCATACAGCTCCCACCATCCCTGGGTGAGTGTATTGAAGTTCTCTGGACTCAATTCTGCCCCAAAGAAAGCCCTGGGCATGAAAAGATTGAGAACCTTCTAACGGCCGCTAACAGGTCCGTGCCAAGCCAACAACAATTTATGAAGTGCCTACTATGTGCCAAGGGCTGGGGATACAGCAGTGAACAAAACAGACAAAAGTCCCTGCCTTCGGGAAGCTGCCAAGGAAGCAATGAGTGAATAAATGAACTTTACGCTGTGATCAAGTCTGCAGAGGAAACCAAGCAGAGAAGGGCCAGGGCGCAGAGAGGCCGAGAAGGTGGGTCCTATGGAGAAGGGGCACTGGAGCAAGAAAGGGCTGGCACATCGCACAGGCTGTCTCTCGGGTAGCATCATGCTTGCAGAGGTGGAAACTGAGGCCCACAGAGGTGCAGCCAAGGGATTTCCAGGGCAAGTCTGTCTGTCTGTCTGTCCGTCTCCTCCAACCATGGGGCTAGGACTTCAGGGTTCAGTAAAGGCTCCCAGGGCCACAGTGTTTTCTCACAGTCCAAATATGCCAGACATAGGCAAAACCAAAGGGGGTCCCGGCCCACAGCAACTGTGCCCCCACACCAGGCACGGCGCACTCTGAGGACGATGAGGGCCCGAGAGGACCCGCGAGGACCCGCAAGGCCCAGCGGCCACAGCAAGCACAACATGGCTGCTGCAGACCCTTCGTCAGCAGGTTCTCACACCAGGCAGCAAAGACCCAGGGGTGTGCCCTGGGACCCCTTCCAATGAGCATCTACAGAACAGTTATGGCTGCAGGACCCTTCCCTCTGGGGGACAGGAGGGTCTGAGGTGTCCTTCCATCCGGTCCCGTGCACTGATGGCGTGCACGAGCCTGATGAACATTCAGGTATGAACACACTCATGGGATCATGACCCCACACCCAGAAGGCTCCCTCGTGCCCCTTCCTGGTCAGTGTCCCCCAGAAGTCATCACTCTTATGACCTCTATTGCTACAGGCCAGTTTTATCTGCCCTTGAACGTCATATAAACGGAATCGTGCAGTATGGACCCCTCTGTGTCTGGTTTATTTTGTGCAACACAACATCTGTGATATTCATCATTTTTCATTGCTGTATACTACTCCCTCGTGTGATCATGCTATAATTTGTTTACCATTCTACCACTGATGGATACTTGGCTTGTTTCCAATTTTAGTCTATTGCTGAGGCTGCTTTGAACATTCTTGCTCATGTCTTCTGGTGGACAGAGCAGTTGGGAATATAACTGAGAGTAGGATTGCTGGGTCCTAGAGAAGCAGGTACAAATGCATTAGAACCTTGCCAAGACCTTGTAGGCAAGCAACATGAGCCTCACTGTGTAGACGAGGAAACAGAGAGGTCAAGTAACATGTCCAGGGTCACACAGCTAAAGGGTAGCACAGCTGGGATGCAAACCCAAGAGCTATGTGGGGCTCCAGCGCCATGCCCCCCTCCCAGCTTCACAGGGGTGGGCGCCCTGAGCAGTACCTACTGCAGAAAGAGAGCACAGGGGAGGACAATGCTCCTTAACTCCCTGGAAGAACAGCAAGGCCCCAATCTGTCCCCAGGAGGCTGGGAGACCAGGTCCGGGGGCCTGGCAGGCTGAGCAAACAGACATGCATGAATGAGGCCTAAGTCCACTCAAACCCCAAGCACATAATTTCATCTGGAAGCAAACGCATCCAGCCGCCCCGGCGCGCCCTCCTTCTTGGGGAGAGGGCAGCCTCCCATCAGAAGCGCCTTTGTCTCCCCCAGAGTGGCCGAGACAGAGTGGCAGAAGCCTCGCTTGTCCAAACAAATGACAGTCAACGGTCCTCCACGTCTCCCGCTGCCCGATTTCAGCCTCAAAGGACCGACTATGCCTCCGTCTCCCTTGTTTCTCTCCTGAAGCCTCCTGCTGTCTGGGGGGGCCCGGAGACACACTCTGGTCCCAGTCCCGAATGGCGGAGGAGGGGGCGAGGTGGCACATCCACCCGTGGGACACGTGTGCCCACTCACCGTGCACCGGCCCTGACACAGGACTGGGGAAAGGCGGATGAGGCCGGCACGGCCTGAAGGAGCTCCCGGTCTCCAAGGGAGATGAACATAATGGCAGAAGCGTGTGCTGATCGCTGCCTTCCCACTGGGAGCGTGAATCAGAGGGGAGGAGGCAAGTGAGGCCTTCCTGGGTGTGGGGTGCAGGCCGGGCCGCTCGTGTTGCTGTCCCTCCCTACCCTTTGGAAAGCTCTCCATCTCCCCTGCGAATGACCCTGCCCCCACTGGCGGTGGGGTCACCATGGTTACCATAGGATGCCGCCTGGTAGCCACGGTGACTGGTCCGGAGGTCGGCCCCTGCCCTAGGCCTGGCCATATGGGGGGCTTCTTTGGGAGCCTGGAGACAAGAGCGAGAAACAGGGGAGTCTCCTTCCCAGCGTGATGCCACAGAAGAAGGCGGAGCCGCAGACGGAGACTGAGACGAAGGGGCCACGGGTTTCTAGCCCCTGCCCCGATCGCTTTCCCGCAGCGCCCCGAGCCGGGCTGCGGTGGTCCGCACCTAGAACGGGGAAGGTCACGCGCAGGCAGCGCTCCTCGGTGGGTCTCGCAGGATGCGCAGGGGTTTCCGCAGTGAAGACGAGGGAGAAAGGCTCCCGTCCTCAGAGAAAGCCCAACGGCACCCAAAAGAACAAACTTGTGGAAGGTCGGCTGTGGAGTCAAAGGCATCACTCTAGGCCCAGACGGGGCCCAGACTCTGCGTTAAGGTTCACACTGCTGCCCTGACCCTGGTCCCCGCAGGGACTTTATATAGATTCCACAATAACGGTCCCCTTTCTACCCCGCTCCCAGAACCCAGCCTATCCTCGGGGAGAACTCCTCGAGCTCCCGCTTGGAACATTCGGGCCCTCACCAGACACACCAGAGCACAGCCCTTCACTTAACCCACTCGGGAGGTCCTGCCCCTCCCCCACTGTCCTGGAACCCCAGCCTCATCCCCGGCACGCGCCCGGCCACACGTGCGTTCCCTCCTTCTCAGACACCCTCCTTCGGCATATTGTCATTCGCAAACTGTTCTTCTGCACATTTGTCCATGAGCTCTTGTATGTTTTATTCATTCCTACACACAGACCTACAACTCATCAAGTGTTGACTGAGCACCTATTATGTGTCCGACTTGCTGATTCTTACCCCAATGCCCAATTTCTGCAAGTGTGATCTGCAGAGTCACCAACATCAGAATTACCAGGGTTGGCTTATTTTTTTTAATATTTATTTATTTTTGAGAGAGTGAGAGAGAGAGACGAGCATGAGAAGGGGAGGGACAGAGAGAGCGGGAGACAGAATCCAAAGCAGGCTCCAGACTCTGAGCTGTCAGCACAGAGCCCGACGCGGGGCTCGAACCGACAAATTGTGACATTATGACCTGAGCTGATGTCGGACGCTCAACCGACTGAGTCACCCAGGCGTCCCTTAAGTGTTTTTGAAGTGTGTTTCTTATTATAGTTTGACAGAGAGAGAGCGCAAGCACGGGAGGGGCAGCGAGAGAAGAGAGAGAATCCCAAGCACGCTCTGTGCTGTCAGCACAGAGCCCAACACGGGGCTTGAACTCGCGAACTGTGAGATCATGACCTGAGCCAAAACCAAGAGTCGGACGCTTCGCCAACTGTACCCCCTGGGCGCCCAGGGTTTGCTTACGTAAAATACTGAGCAGCCCAACCACTGCTGCTCCTACCCAGGAACCACGCTCCTGGAACAGATGCCCGTGCTGCCGGCTACACTGACGGTCAAGAGCGGCTGGTCTCAGCGGGCTCTGCTCCTTTTCCTCGTCTTTGTCATCCCTGGCCCCCGTGAGCCCCTGGGGTTGCCAGCAAGGGGCTCAGAACCGCAGTCCATGGGGATGAGACTCTTCTCTAACAGCAGGGTGGTGTTACCTCTGCTCCAAGAGCATCAGATGTATAACACGCACATGCAAAGATACACACGCGCACTTTTAAAAGGCTTGCCCTGTGGAAGTCTTCATGAACGTGTCTTAGGAGAGCTCTCCCAAGGAAGGTGACTTAAGGGGTGGGGGGGGGGGCGTGCAAAGGGCAACACTGACGAAGGCCCACTGCAAACACATCTGTACTCGCGGCCCCTCTCGAGCCACCCTGCACCCTCGCCTGTGTGAGCTCTGTGTTCTTTCCTCCCCTGGGAGATTTATTCAGCCAATCGAAACCTGGGCTCCAGAGAGATGTGAGAGCCCCCTGCTTCTCTACCCCCCAGCCCGGGGCTCCTTCAAACCGTATATCGATCTGCCCTAAAACTGCAAGGAGAGGCGAGGCTGGCCCTCGGGCCATGGGCTCGGGGGTATGCGGTTCTTCCAGTGCACTACGTGGAGCTCCGCCCTCAAGGCAGGGCAGCAGCACCGGTCTCCAGCTTGTGGTCTGCCCTGGAAGCCTGGCTCTTCAAGGCGCAGTAAACGGTCAGATAGCATCGACTCACCTGGAAGCTTTTCCAGGCATCGATCTGTTTTCCAGGGCGCCTCATCTGTGCACCACCAAGCGCTGTGATAACGAGAGTTCAGAGTACGTGGCCGGCAGCTCAAGACTACACAGCTACCAAGGAGACAGAAGGTGCCCGCCCAGAGGAGCGTACTACCTGTGCTCGCCGGTGCCTGAATCACCTTGTTCAGTCCACACCACGGCCTCTCGCGTTGAACGTGCCGACGGGCTGCCTGGAGAGTTTTGTCAAAATCCAGACTATAGTGCAGGAGGGTAGGGTCTGAGAGTCTGAATCTCCAAAAAACTTGCAATGGGGCAGATGCAGCCAGTCGCACGGAAAGGGGCTGCCCTACCAGATGGAGGATGTTATTATTACCAACATTCCCTTTTATAACAACACAAAGGAAACTGCAGCTTCTAGAAATTCACGAGCTGCGTGAATCACAAAGGCAAAAGAGGCCATGCCGAGATTTGAACCCAGCACTGTGGGCTCCAAGACACAAACTCATGACCACTGAGCCAAGATGCCTCCCCAGCCAGCCCTCCAGGCTTCACCGTGTTCTCACTGGTTCCTTGTGTCCCCCATGCAGGGGGGCCAGCCAGGCTGTGGGAATTAGAAAAGGAGCCCCACCTCTTAGACAATTCAGGCCACGGCCTGGCGAGGTGGGGAATCTTTGTGCAAAGAACAAGAAGCCCTTTTCTCTGGAGGGGTCAGCACCTTGCCAGGGCACATGCAATTCCAGCCCACTCAACCCATGGCCGTGACAAGGTCTGAAATGACAACCGCGTGACTCTCCACGGAGGCCCTGCCCGCCAGTGCTTCCCCCTGAGGCCGCAGATCCTAGTGACGAAGAGCAAGGACGTTCTAAGTTCAAATTCCACCCCTCCTACATCACGGCTGTGTGACTTCGAGCTCGTGACTGCACCTCTCTGAGCCTGTTTCCACATTTGGAAAATGGGGGAAATGCCCACCTCCCTCACAGAACTGTTGTGAGATATGAACTTGGGAGCCCTTTGGCGCTGGCAGAGTTGGCCCCGGACTGAGGAGTGAGCCATGCGGGGTTCCCAGAAGGCCAGCTGGGCTAGTCTGCCCGAGACCGGACAGGGCGTCGCTGGGAAGGGGCGGACATCCCAGCAGCCTTGCTTCGCCACGTGACCCACTCTCACGGGGCCACCGCCCGGGCCCAAGAGCCGAGAATGGCCAGCACTACAGGCTGGTCCCTGATGAATTTCGCTTGGGGTCAGGAGGGTCTGGCACCTCATGGATGGCTTCCGAGAGAAGTGCCATGAGGCGTGCCCTGTGAACAGAGCGAAAAGACCGGGGTTGGAATCCTGGTGCTTGGACCCTGAGCAGGCTGGCCTTGCAGCTCACACCCCTCCGCGGGGGCCCCACTGGCTCTGCTGTAACACGGGACTGGTATGGGGGTTCCAGGAGGCCCGGACGGCGCTCGGCCTGTGCCTGGCGCACATCATGTGCTCAGTCAGGTGAGTTACGAGGTGACAGCCTCTCCAGCCAGCAATCACCAGGCTGCCGTTGGCTTTTTGCCCACTCTGCACTCTTACGTCCGATCCACGGGCAAGTCCTGGCCGCTTCGCCTCCAGATCAGCGCCGAGACTGACCACCGTCACAGCCTCTGCCCGTGAGACCAAGCGGCCGAGTGTCAGCCTCACCTCTTGCCTGGACTGTCGGGCACACTGGCCTCCCTCAGACGGCACCACCCGAGAGGACTTACTGGGATGGCAGAAATGCTCGCTATCCGCACCGGCTAGCGAGTGCCTGAAAGGTGGCAACCATGACTGAGGAACTCAGTTTGCAACTTTACAGGTGCCCAATTAAATTTAAATGGCCACACACGGCTAACAATCGTCGGATCAGAGTTTTAGACTATTCTCCATCTAGCAGCTGAGGGATGCGTTTTTAAAAAAATTTTTTAATGTCTTTCTTTGACAGAGAAGAGAGCACGAGCAGGGGAGGGGCAGAAAGAGAGGGAGACACGGAATCCAAAGCAGGCTCCAGGCTCCGGGCTGTTAGCACAGAGCCTGACGCGGGGCCCGAACTCACCAACAGTGAGATCACGACCTGAGCTGAAGTCAGACGCTTAACCAATTGAGCCACCCAGGCGCCCCGAGGGATGCTTTGTAAAGCCAAAGTCAGATTGTGTCCCTCCTCTACTCAAAACCCTCCAATGACTGACTCCTTTCTCACCCAGAAGAAAACCCAAAGCCCTGGTAATTGCCTGCAAGACCCTCCGTGACCTGCCCACCCCCACTCTCTCTGGTCTTGGCTCTCACCACCTTCTTTCTCACCTATTCTGTTCCAACCCCGCTGGCTTCCTTGCAGTTGCTTAAACCTGCCACTCCTGCTCCTGCCACAGGGCCTTTGCCCATGCTGTGCCCGCCCATTGCACACACACACTTTCCCCTAAATGTCTTCACAACTGGGTCCCCTAATTCAAGGCTCTCTTCCAGTATTCTCCCTGACCCCAGGAAGTGACACCCTGAGTCCACTGTGCCTCACCTCCCCCTGCCACGTTTCTTCAAAAATACCTATGACTACTTAAAATGCTATGTATTTGTTCACATATTTATTCTCTCTTCTTACCGGAATATAGGATTTGTGGAAGCAAAGACTTTGCCTGTCACACTCACTGCTGTATCTCCTGTGCCCGGAATAGCCCTGGCCAGGCGCACAGCAGGCCCTCTATACAGATGAACAAAAGAATCATGAGCGAGATACCCAGCACATAGCAGGTACTCAATAAACAACCACGATTGCTACGGTAATAATAAATTGTCATCATCCTTTCCCCAAACCCAGTCAATCGTGTTCAGGGCCAGGCCTGGTGTCTCTTTGATTATGGAACAACAAAGGAACAACACCCTCTCCTCTGCCCAGCATGCCCTGCCTTGGGTGCCAAGAAGCCGGGAACCCCACACAGAAGGAAGTCTCCTGGTGGCCGGGGTGGGGGCGCTGGGGGTGGGCAGAACTGGCGGTGGGCCTGGTTGCCAGGCAACCCCACCCCGTCGCTCACAACCACGGGCCACACAAGTTCTGCCGGGAGGGGCTGTGTGTGTTCGGCTGCCTTATCTGCTGGCCTGACCACCGGTGTTTGTGCCTCGCTTACAGAAGGACAAAGTACACGGGGGAGCAGGGTCCCAGTCTGCAGGCCGTGAGTCTGTAATGGGCAAGGAAAGCGAGCTCGGGTTCCTGAGGACCTACTGTGGGCGGCCCACTTTCAACACATTCTCGGCCACCCTCACGGCGGTGCGGGTTTAAATAAGATGACGCAAGAAAGGCACTTCCCGTGGGTCCCTTCCTGGGGTCCCTTCCGCCGCTGCAATGATTGTGTTTCTTCTTCTAGGACATGCTCCTCACAATGTTCATGGCAGCACGCCTGGACGGGCCCAGCTCCGCCCCTGCAAACTCAGTCTGGGTCTCCCTCCACCCCTCTCTCGCTCGCGTCCAGGGTTCTCCACCTTAGCACTGCTGACATTTGGGGCCAGATCGCTCCTTGTGGTGGGGGGCGGGCCTGGGCCTCGGGTAGTGTTGAGAAGGATCCCCGGCCTCTCCCCGTGGCTCGCGGGAAGGTAAAAGAACGCAGCCGCTTTGGAAAACGGTACGGAGATCCCTCAAGAAATTAAAAATAGAACTACCATATGATCCAGCCATCCCACTTCTGGGTGTAGACCCGCAAGAACTGAAAGATCTCAGAGAGACATTCGAACATCCCTGTTCACATAAGCATTATTCACAACGACCAGAAGGCGGAAGCAACCCAAGGGTCTGCGGGGAGGTGACCGGACAAAGAAAGTGGGCTGGATGCACACAGCGCTACGTGCGCTGAGCCAGTCACAAAAATACAAACACC